TATCAATGCAACTTCATGTATGCCTTTGAGATGCAGTCTGAGATATTGTATTTTTATGTATGCAGGAATCTTTTATGATGCATGATGATGCTGTTTTGTGTATCGATTTTAGTAGAGATTCCGAGATGCTTGCTTCTGGATCCCAAGATGGAAAGATTAAAGTAAGCATACCTGATTGTTGTTTATACATAAGAAAATCGTCATATAAAACAGCTTGTGGAATGAATAGCATGCGGTAACAATACTTGCTGATATCGTTTTGATAATAATAATTCTAGGTTTGGCGTATACGGAATGGCCAATGCTTGCGGCGTCTTGAAAACGCGCATTCTCAGGGTGTCACTAGCGTTGCATTCTCCCGTGATGGAAGTCAATTGTTGAGCACATCATTTGATGGAACTGCAAGGTCTGTTGAGAACTTATCGCTTCGTAGTAAAATCAGTTCATTGAAATTATATATATAATTTCATGCACAAAACACCTATAAACACACACTTCTCCATATATACTTGCTGAAAGAATAAAGTATAATGCACAAATAAAAAAGGGTTATTTAGGAGAATTACCTTCTGATTTTGAGGGATTCTTATGTTGGACAAAGACGTTCTTAAATCTGTTAGAAGGTCATGCATTTAATATATATATATATATATATATATATAGAGAGAGAGAGAGAGAGAGAGAGTCGTTCAGAGGAAAACCCTTAAAATATGAAAAACTGAGGAACACCCTGTAACCGTTCATCTGGACGATATGCACATGTGCATACAAGTAATTGAAGCTGTTTTTTTGGTTTTTATGCATGGATGCATGTTATGCACATGTGCGTACCGGACAACTTGCTTACAAATTACTTGTATGCACATATGCATATCCTCCAGATGAAAATGTTTACCAGGGTTTTCCTTAGTTTTTCATTTTTTTGCGGTTTACCCTGAACCTGACCCTATATATATAAGAAGGTTATTCTCTTAAATAACTCAAATAAGAAACTTAGCTATAACTCACATGTAACAAGTTGATGTTACACTTGCTAAATTTGTACCAGAATTCATGGGATAAAGAACGGGAAGTTGCTAAAGGAATTTCGTGGTCATTCTTCATATGTGAATGATGCCATATTCACAAGTGATGGACTTCGTGTCATTACTGCATCAAGCGATTGTACAGTAAAGGTCAGACACTTCTTTTTGTTGGATCTCTGTCTGCAAGTGATTATTCTTTTGCTTATCTAGGTGCATAATCAGCAAGCTTTTGTTTTTATACAGGTGTGGGATCTGAAGTCTACGGATTGTCTACAAACGTTCAAGCCACCACCTCCATTGCGGGTATTGCTACCATATGCATCACTATATTAGATTGAAGTTTGATGCTCTTTTTTACTTCCCTCCGTCCACGATGAAATAGGCACAAAGTTCTAGAAATGTGTAGTTATTACACTTCTTATTACTAAATGACGATTTTACCCTTAATAATAGATGGAGTAATGAATTTTCCCATCTCATAATGAAGGGTAGAATTAGAAAGTAGGCGTTACGTTTGAAAATGGACACTTATTTTGGGACAAACTAAAATAGGAATGTGGAACTTTATTTTTGTGATGGAGGGTGTGGGATCCCACATCGGTTGGGAAGGGAAACAAAGGTTGCCTTATAAAGAACTGGATACCTCCTCTATCAGACACGTTTGAAAACCGTGAGTATAGGTGTGGATAAAGCGGACAATATCTGGTACAGTTGGTCGGGGATGTTACAGAGGGAATATTTAATTCATCCTCTTCTTCCCTCTACGTTTGTGCCATTTTGCATCATCTTTCGGTTTTGACTTACTAGTTATCTCTTTCTGACCTACAGGGAGGTGATGCATCTGTAAATTCCGTTCATCTTTCTCCCAAAAATCCTGACCATGTAATAGTTTGCAACAAGACATCGTCAATTTACCTCATGACTCTTCAAGGGCAGGTTGGTTCTCCGTTTCTCATAATGTTGTATGTAGATGCATTCAATGAAAACGATATACTGTTTCACAATTTTACCAAGGGCTTGACTGTTAGCAGCTTAATGAGCTTAACGGGACTCGAGCTTATTCAATGAGCTATACATTACTATTTGGTATGGCTTAGTGATATAGAAAGTGGCTTATTTAGTAAGCTTCTAGGTGAGAGCTTTATTTTTCCAAACATGCCCCTCCCAATTAAGGAACACGCTCCTTCCCTCTATAACAACCCCCCATTCCAATCTATACAGACAGATTAATCCACACCGACAATTTTATCCATACAGGAATTAATGGTAAACTAACCAAACAACCCTTAAGGATGTTTGGAAACCGCTACTTGGTTTGCAACATCATGTCCTTGATACGATTCCGTTAAATTGAAAAATGATTGAGCGTTGCATTTTGCAGGTTGTGAAAAGTTTCTCCTCTGGTAAAAGGGAGGGTGGAGATTTTGTTGCAGCTTGCATATCACCTAAAGGGGAATGGATATATTGTGTTGGGGAAGACAGGTATGGCAGAAACTTTAAAAGTTGTCCTCTAAATCTACTATTCCATGTATTATTCATAATGAATAACCCCAAATAACTATGCATTTTTCATCATGAATAACTTTCTTCGTGAATATATATGATGGCATTCATCATGAATAGAACATAAATAGTTGGTTCCCAGGTTCTAAGAATATTCACGGTTCTCATTTGAACCTGTTTCTATATTCACTAGATTGTGTTACCACCTTTTTGCGCCACACGTTGATTCTAACATCTTAACACCATTTTCTTTCTTAAATCGGGTTATTGCTAGTAATTACGTTTTGAAACAATCTGCAGGAACCTGTACTGCTTCAGCCATCAATCTGGCAAACTAGAGCACTTGATGAAGGTACATTCTTCGCTTTTCTTACAAATGATATTCATTAATGAATATGCCTTTTGGTTGTGCTTTTTTCAAGTATCTTTCTGCTACCGTTCTTATTCGCAGGTGCATGAGAAGGATGTTATTGGCATTTGTCACCATCCCCACCGGAATCTTGTAGCCACGTACGGTGAAGACTGCACCATGAAACTATGGAAGCCTTGAATCGTCTTTTTCAACTTCCCTTTTCGGTTTTTCTCATTCCGTGCCCACAGCTGCATGAGCCTTGTTTCCGTAGCCATTACTGTGATCCCGGTAACATTGGTTTAATGAACTTAGATTTTGCTTTCTTTCAATCTCAAGTTACGTACTCGACTCATGAATTGATATTACAATGTCGGTTTTCATATAAATGACGGTATTACCATGTATAGAAACGGTCTCTTTACTCCTTCAAATGGATGCAAGGTCTGCTTACATCCTACCCCTGACCTTACCTCTGTGTGGGATATTCCGTGTGAATTCGATCCCCTTCTCATTTAGCTTTTGCACGATTTTATCGGTCACTTCGACCTCATTTCATTCTCATCATGTGTACCATCATGCTCCATTCTCAGGCGGGCGTAAGAATTGTGCAAGAGTTTTCCATATGATTATAAGAAACAAGCGTATGGATATTTTTCACAATCGTTGTTGGTTAGTTCGGTTTATTTTTCATATGTGACGTCATATGTTCAAGTGTTCTATTGCAATTTTTTTTCCTAGAAACAATAAATCTGAAATTAAAAGCTGAAAACTAAGAAAATGACACTAAAGAGATTCGAACTGGGTTTGAGGTGGAAGAAAAGTCTTGCAAACCAATTCTACCGATGGATACGTTCTTATTGTAGTTTCAAAATATATACGATGACAAAACAAATTGATACGGTGATGTTTTTCACGACTTTATAATTTTTTAGAATAAATATTTAAAATGACAATAAAAATTAAATAAAATAACATAAATAATATGAATTAAAAAAGTTCATAACACAGTATTTAATAACTTAAAATATACTTAAAACAGTAAAATATCATTGTTTAAAAACCATTTATTATCCTATTTCAAGGGGGCGTTTGGTTCGTAGAATGAAATTCGATGGAATTGGAATTCATCAAATGAATTTGATTTTGAGGGAATGAAATGGAATCTGATGGAATTTGACCATGCCTTGTGATTGCGTTTGGTTACATGGAATTGGAATGGAGTTCTTAACGGAATTGGAATTTTTTTGTTTGGTTCACAGAATTCAACTTTGGAATCGAAATTAAATATCAACAAATGATCTTTTATGATTTTTTTGTCATTTTTTTTAAAATTAAAATTACCATTAAACCAAATTACATTATTAACATCAGATAAAATTTGAAATTGTTCACTTATATTTTGTTTATGAGAGAGGGAGAACATACCGGGAGATCGAACCAGAAATCCAGTAGATGAGATGGTAGACGCGTTGAATGAATTTGGATTAGGGAAGGAATCTGTAGGAAAGGAATTGAAATCCTAACATATTGCCATAGAATTGTAAAATCTGTGCATGAAAGAATCAACTGGAATTGAAAGGATTCGATAGTCTTATTCCATAAACCAAACACTCTATTTGGAATTTGGTAAAAGGACCGGACATTCCAATTCCTTGCAATTCCCATGATCCAAACATCCCCTAAGTTTTCTCCCCGATTTTCTCGTTTTAATGTTGCTATCACATGTTAGGATCCAAACGCTTACCACTCCATTAAAAACAATTACTGATAAAGCAGACACAACTTATTTTCTTATAACGTAATAGTCAGCGTCACGTTTCAATTTATGAAATGACCCAACAATCCCCCTAGCATCTCCCTGCATTAACAAGATCTTCGCTAATGGCTACACAACATGTCTTTGACATTATTATACACCACATGAGATTCGAACCCGTGACCTGCTCTGCTATGATACCACAAATTAGGATACAAACGCTTACCACTATGCCAAAAACAATTAATGATAGAGAAGTCAACGCTACGTTTCGATTTAAAAAGATGCTGATCAATGACCCAACAAATATAACGTATTAATATAACTAAACCGATTAAGCTATTAAGCTAATAGCTCATTAAGCACCTTATAACCAAAACCATCTATTATTCCAATTTTCTCATCTGAATGCTGCTATTTTCTGGAAGGTGAGATCTATATATATATATCCAAAACTTACGAAACATTAAAATACACGAAAAAAAAACACATCACCATGTCTGAAAAAACACCACAAATTACACACACTAGACAAAACCCCACCCCCATTATTATCCAAAACCAACATCATGGCTCGAACCATATCTAGTAATCTTCCGGGGCCAGCGGCTGGTGGTGCGTATGAACCGGCACCTCCGGCTGTATGATCCCGAACTCGTATATCAACCCAGCTATCGCGGCCCCTAAAAACGGTCCAAGCCAATACACCCAATGGTTGCGCCACCGCCACCCCACCAATGACGGTCCAAATGCCCTTGCCGGATTCATGCACCCTCCCTCAAAAGGTCCGCCGACCAACGTATTAGCACCCACAATGAACGCAATCGCAAGTGGCGCTATCGTCCCTAAAGTTCCTCTTTTATGGTCGATTGCCGTCGCGAAAACGGTGTAAACCAACCCGAATGTTAAGATCACCTCCATTAATAAAGCATTCAGGTTTCCAACGTCTCGGGCCACGTAAAGTCCGACGGGTCTCTGGGAAAGAAAGATATTAATATCAGATCATCACTGCAACAAAATTGGTTTCTAAGTCTTCTAATAAAATACTTTGTAAAACTTAGGTTTATAGGACCAGTAAACTATAAAACGTCTTATCTAAAAGCGTTACAATAGGTTTATATATAGTTTTTAGACGTTTTAACAAATTTTTTAGAACATTTTTAAAATAAAGTGTCATGTTAACTATTTTACAGGACAACTTAGAGAGTGCCTTATATAAACCCATCTTATTACAAGACACTTTTTCAAATGGTATAGGACCAACCTATAAAGCGTCCTATATAAAAACATTAAAATAGGTTTACAGGACGTTTTTCGACGTCTTTAACAAGTTTTTTAACGTTTTTAAAATAAAGTGTCTTAATAGCTATTTTATAGGATACTTTTGAAAAGTATCTTATAAACCCGTCTTTTTATAAGACATTTTCTTTCAAACAGTGTATTAACATGACATTTTATTTTAAAAATGTCCTAAAAAACTTGTAAAAACGACTAAATGCCTCCTATAAACCTATTGTAACACAATTAAATGCGACGTTTTTTTTATTTGGTCATTTAAACTTAAAAGATGGGTTTTCCATGAAATGGAAGACATTTTATCGTAAAACTCGTTAAAAACGCCAAAAAACACCCTGTAAACTTGTTAAAACGCCTAAAAACACCCTGTAAACTTGTTAAAACGCCTAAAAACGTCCTGTAAACTTGTTAAAACGACTAAAAACGCCCTGTAAACTTGTAAAAACGCCTTGTAAACTTGTAAAAACGCCCTGTAAACTTGTTAAAACGCCTAAAAAACGTCACGTAAACCAACTGTAACACTTTCAAATAAAAAGGTTTCTTTGTTCGGTCTTATAAACTGAAGTCCATATACGGACGTAACGATAACGAAAAGAAATCGACGGTTGATGACGGAAGTATCTAACTACTTATTGTACCATGCCGACGGTGGATGGCCGGAGTAATAAGGAAGCAACGATGGCGCCGAGAAGCTGAGCCACCCAGTAATACAACGCTCGAACCAACGAAACCCTTCCGGCAACAAGAGTCCCAAAAGTAACCGCCGGGTTTACATGTCCACCGGAGACGTTTAAACTAGACGCCACGGCGGCGAACAATGCCAGCGCCGTAGCCACCGCCACCAGCAAATTCCCGGCGGCTCCCAGCACATCGCCACCGTACGCTTTATCTGGATGCAACAAAAATCCGACGTTAAATTCAAATCATTAAACAATCGAAACTCACCGGAACCGCATGTTCAGTTGATGATCAATCGTCGGAAAGTTTAGATCATACCAAGAGCAAGCACGGAGCCTTCGGCGGCGAAGACGAAAACGAAGGTGGAAAGGAACTCCGACAAGGTGGCGCGTGCGGAATCCGGGTGGGTGGCTTCATCGGCCCTCCCGATGGCGTATCTACGCGGCGGCATAACTTCGTGTTTCGTTCGTTACCGAATCTGCAAACTAAGAATTCAATGAATGACGGATGATTTATGAAATCAATGAGTCAAGGTTTTGATTTGGAGATTGGAGAAGATGAAGTGGGAATGAAGAAGGCGGGTGGTTATAAAATGGAGGTGATGGGGTAAACGCCATTAATGACACTTGGGTGAAGAATTGCAGAGAAATCGACACGTAAGTGTGTGTGTTGGCAAGAAGTTTGAGTTATGGATATAATAGTAGGGAATAAGAGATGGAAAGGATAACTTAGAAACTTGATTTAATCTTGTGGGTTTTGGGAGTTTCTGGTTTTCAAGATTTCTTGAACAGCTTTTTGGGTCATATCATATGGGTCTTGGAGTCTCTAGTTTTCAAGATTTCTTGATTTATCATTGTAGCCTAGCTTTTGGGTTCATATGGGGTTTTGGAGTTCTTCAAGATTTCTTGATTTAATGTACTCTAGCTTTTTTAGGTCAAATGGGGTTTTGGAGGTTTTACTTTTCAAGATTTTGTAGGCCATTGGGTTTGGGTAGAAGTGGGAAAATCAAAAATTCGATTGGATTTCGGATATATAAATCAAGTCCTTTTTGAGTTTCAGATTTCGGATTGTTTCTGGCTCGGGTTTAGATTTGGTGTAGAAGATATATATTCAATCGATTTTGAGCAAGAATTCGATTGATTTAGAGTAGACAATCTATTTTGAGGATGGATTCAATCGATTTAGAACATTGATAAATCGATAGTATGCTTAGAAATTTGAAAAGAGCACGACAGACTAGGATTTTTAGAATTTTCAAAACATAATTCGATAAAATAAGTATATTTTATATAGTATTTAAAATAATATGTGTATATATTTTACCCCTTTTTCAGACGGATCAGGTGGCCAAAAATCAAACCTAAAGTTTCCCCGAAAAGTCCGTTTTAGGATTTTTTTTGAATTTCGGGACACTGGGGTTTTACATAAATACCTTATTTCCAGTTTGGGTTTGAATTTGAATTTTAGACCATTTGGATTTTGCCCCTTGGTTTGGGTCGGGTTTGAATCAGATCTAACTTAATTTGTTTAACGGGTTTAATATATTAAATTAAAAACCCTTTGGTTTTCAATAGCTTTTGAGTCATATATGGGGTTGGGGAGTTTCTAGTTTTCAAGATTTTGGGTCGAGTCTAATATGTTGTTTTATTTAATGGGTCTAATATAGTAAATATGACCTTGTTTTAGGGTATTAATAACTTTCGTTTACCTATGCATTAACAGTTTTTTTGAAAGTATTAATATTTACTAGAAGGGTACTCGTGCAATGTTGCGAGATACATCTTGATTTTAATATTTTATTTTATTTTTTATCTCAGTCGATGTTATAATATGATATTATGTGATTTTGA